CCAAGCGCCGCACGCCTGGGGCCGGCACTCTCCCCCCCCAAGCGGCACGCGCCCGGGGCCGGCGCCCCCTGCAAGCACCCAGAGCGCGGGTGGCCAATCTGCGGCACTCCCGGGGCCAGCGCTCACCGTGCGCCATGTGTCCGGGGGCAGGCCAGCCCCGAGCACCTGGGCACCGTGTTGGGGACCACGGCCCTAGCGCAAGGGAGGCAAAGCTGTGTTGTCAGGGTCTAAGAATGTGTGATTGTTTTAGAAGCGCTTGTGCAGGACTGGCTCACCTAGGAGTAGCTATGGCACACAGGGAATGGTGGTAGGAAAGTCTGCTCACCGCTTGTGGGCGCCTTCTTCTGCTCACTTTGGGGAATAGCTCTCTGCTAGGGCTGATGCCTCTGCCTTCTGCTGTCCTCTTTCTCGTGCTGCATCCCCTCTCTCTTGCTTCAGTTGCTGCAGCCTCCTCTTCGTGACTTAGCCCCCGAGGTGTCTCCAGACAATGGCCACAGGCAGGTGGTCCACCTTCCTTTGCCTGGGCAACACAACATCCCCCAGGGCTGGAAGGGTAACCCAGACTGCTCTCTGCTCCAGGTTCCAGCTCACAGGCCCCTATTCACTATCCTACACCCTGACTTCCCCCCTTTGTGGGTTTGCCAGACTCACAATTCCCTCCTTCCAGGCTGCAATGGTGGACCATCCTCTACAGTCTCAGTTAATATGGCCACTGTCTCCCCTTCCAATCTTGTGTCAGCTGGGCACCCCATCCTATGTTCTCAGCCTATCTTGAATGAATGCCTTGCTCTAGCTTCTTAGAGGGCTGGGGCGGGGGGCGTGGAGAAGAAGGAAGACAATCCTCCAGTTACGGGTAACCACCTGAACTAAACCTTCCCTCAAAATAAGGAAATGGTAAAGAGATAGATCCTGGACCTAGGTTCTAGTTGAACAACATGTTCTAGGTTCCCAATCCCTCACATTGCCTAAATAGCCCTATTTAGCCCTATTGCCTAAATAGCCCTATTACCTAAATAGCCCTATGGGCTAAAGGGGGTACCCATCTGGGAAGCTAGGCTGTAGAGTTCTGGACTCTAGGTAGGACTAACAACTCTAAAAAGCCCTAATTATATGGTCCAAACCTGGAAGCTAAATAGTGGTATTTGGGGTTCTATGTATTTCTAACAAATGGGTTCTAGATAGCCTATAAGCCTCTCTGGGTCTATCTAGCCTAAATCGTGTTGGCTAATGCCAGGTGGAGGCAAGGTAGCTAGAATGTTATCAGTGATAGTTTTTATTACTGTAGATGTGGGAGCCCTTGTCCTGAACTGGGACTCAACTGTGATAAGTAATGTAGGAGCCCTTGACCTGAACTGGGACCCAACTGTGATAAGTACAGTGTAGAGTCCAGTGATGATCCCTCCCCCAAAACCTTCATCATCTAAGTATAAGACAAGAGGCAAAAGCAGGGTACACAGAACTTTCTAGGTTAACCATCATTTTGTATCAGAGTGGTAGCCATGTTAGTCTGAATCTGCAAGAACAATGAGAAGTCCTGTGGCACCTTATAGATTAACAGATATATTGGAGTATAAAGCTTATGCTCCAATATATCTGTTAGACTATAAGGTGCCCCATCACTGTATATCTTGTGGTCCATCTGTGGTTTAGGTGACACATAAAGTATTTTCTAGATACCCCATGCAGGATGTCTAGGCAATGAGGCATTTTGGGGTTCTAGGTCATGCAAATTGTACGCTAGATAACTCAAAGATGGATATGTTCTTGAATGTCTAGAGACTTCAATATTATGGGTCCCAGGTAACACATGTAGTGCATTCTAGGTAACACAAAGAATTGCATGTTCTGGGCCATCCAATCAATTAGATAATATGAGTTCTAGGTGATGCATGCAATATGTTCTAGATAACCCAAAGTACTGTATGTTGTAGGTTGGCTTCGGGACATGACTGGGGACTACACGGCCTCTTTCACTGTAGCAGGGGCTTTCCTCCTCGCTGGAAGTTTGCTCCTTTTTACTCTGCCAAATTATTTCTCCTGCCCCATGGACTCGACAGCTGAGGAGGATGCTGCAAGGGATCCCTGAGGGTTTGGATCCTGGCATTTACTGCAGCGAGCCAGCTTGGAAGTGATGTGCATATGCTGACCTTCAAGGGGCAGTTGGAAGATGAGTAGCAGATGGGACTCTAGCTGGATCCAGACATTTGCCTTTTCTTTGAGGCTCTGCAAGCACCATGCACAAGGCCATGAAAATATGATCATGCTCCCACTGTGGGCTAAGCCCTCCCAAGGCAAATAGAAATGAGGGTATGCCTACACTACAGCGCTAATTCAAACTAGCTTAGTTCAAATTAGTTAATTCGAACTAAGCTAATTCAAACTAATGCATCTAGAAATAAAAACTAGCTCGAATTAGCGTTTTGCTAATTCGAACTAGCGCGTCCACATTAAGTGGACCCTGAAGCGGGGTTAAGGATGGCTGGAAGCAGTGCCGGCAGGGCATCAGAGGAGGACTTAGAGCGTGGAGATGCTGTCTCAGGCTAGCCGAGGGCTGTGCTTAAAGGGTCCCGACCCCCACCCCGGACAGACAGTTCTCAGGGGTATCCCGCTTGCAAAGCAGTCCTGGCTTGGATTGCCTGGACTACCCACACTGCATGGACACACATGATGGAAAAGATGGCACACCTTGAGGGTAATTGGCCCTGCTGATTAATCACCCTCCCTGTGAAAAATGTGTACCTGATTGGCCGAGCTAGTGAAGACATATCCTGCCCTTGACTAAGTTTCTCTTCTTGTCTGTGTGTAACGCAATCACAAGAGGATGCCCCAGCTGATTGCTCCCAAACATTAAGAGAACATATGAGGCATTCATGGCTAGTACCCTGTTGATTTAGGGGGAGAGTGAAAAACAAAGCAAAAGGGGGGGCACACAGCATAAACGAGTGGCTGATGGCAGAAAAAATAATGCCTTGACTGGGTCAACTGCCTTCCCCAGCAGCTGCACACCCCGCAGGGCTGCTGGTCTTGAGAGAAAGACAACTAATTGAGGAAAGGTACCCAAAAAGATGGGGAAAGGGGATGGGGCCCCTGAATTAGAGGGGGCCTTAGGGGCAGACCCCAGGAATCATTGACAAGGACAGAAGAAACAGTCTTCTTCTGGCCAGTGGGTCCAGCCCTGCCACTGTCCGCCCTTCCCGGAGTGCCCTCTCCCTGGGCTACTAGGATCAAGTCTCCCCTGCTGCACCCTGCAGTCATCACTGCTCAGAGAACCTGAATGGGGGCAGCTTCTTCACACTCTAGCTTGACACACACCCCAGAACAGGCCATAGCCTTCCAGGCAGACAAAGACGGGAACTCCTCTCATACTAAACACAGGGGTCCCTCGCCTGGCACTGAGCTGCAGCCACCTCTGAGGAATGGTGGCTGGTTCCCCAGTGACCCCTGGCCTGGTGCAGCCCCCCTCCAGAGCTGGCTCTATCTCAGTTGTGGGCAAAGGAACCCTGTGAAACCAGCTGCCCCAGGCTTTCTCCCTCACCCAGCAGGGGTCAGGCCTGGGGGGGTTATAACCTGGCAACACATGAGATGGAGGAGGAAGGGTGCGGTGGCAAGTAGACACCTCCCATCATCTGCAGACTTTGCCCCACAATTCCCTAGAACGCCCAGCCTTTGAGACCGGCATCCTGCATCTGCTCACCAGGTGCAGGGGGCTGGGACAGAATCAGGGGGGCCACTGTTAAGTTTAACAACCACTGGGTCATTGTGCTGGGGGTGGCTCACCCACCACTGGAATGCAGCAGCCTCTGTCATGGGGCACAGCTGCTGATTCACGGCTGCCCGCTGCCCTGGGGTCATTCATTACAGACTCTGTGACAGCCACCTCTAGGGTGGAGCGCAACCACCAGTAACTGGTCACATGGCAATACTGCACAAAGAGCACCACCTGGCACAGAGGGGCAACCTCTTCTTGGGAGGAGGCAGCTGTTTACTCCAGACTCACCTTAGCACATGGAACTGAATCTCTGTGCAGCCCCCCACAGAGGCTGGAGCTAGCTGGTTGCACTGTTGGTCTTCTGGGAGTTGGGTTTGGTTTTTGGGGGTGATCTGCTCCTGTGGGGTCTTCTTCATGGAGTTTGTGTGGTACTTTGGGGAGCTGATGAGCTGAGTGTCCTGGATCACGTCCATCAAGATAACCATCCTGCTATTTGCTAGTGAGTATCGAGTCTCCGGCCTCTTCCCTAGCTCCTTTAACATACGTTCATCTGATTCCTGAAAGCTAGTCTACTCCTGCTCAATATGTCCTAGGTAGCACAAGCAAGATTAATGCTTAGTTCTAGGTTTTAAGATTCTAGGTGCATCCTCTCCTTGTAAACTGTAGTCTACTCCAGCTTGGTACATTATAGGTAACACAAATAGGATTCATGCTGGGTTCTAGGTTGGCTTGGCATGATGCGTTCTGTGTGCATCCTCACCATTCAAGCTGTAGTCAACTGCAGCTCAATATGTTCTAGGTGGCACACTTGTTTGGCTCTAAGTAGGAGAGTTCCCCCATGCAATCACTATAACCGTGATAAGCTTCTTCCCAAGTGGAGGTGGGGGGGAGAGAGATGAGCTCGACCCATACACCCCCCCCCCACCAAGAGTCACATCAACGCAGCAGAACAAGGGGGGAATTAACAAGGCTGCCAGGGGGTACGTGAGTCCATGCTGCTTGTCTGCCCTGCTCAGCTGGAGAAGAGGGTTGAGCTAGGAGTGGGGATGCCCCACCCCAAAAGGCGACAGATCAGCAGCACCCCCCAGCAGCTACAGCGTGGTGAGTTTTAGGTCACGGTGGTTCAGCTTCTCGGGGTTGTCAGATGCCATCAGGGAGAAGTCCCGGAAGATGTCGAGGTATGTCTCGTCACCTGGAAGGGCGAGGGTGTGTATGTACGGGGGAGGGGGAATGAGGAACCCCCAGTCTCACTCCACAGCCCCTTGCTAGCCCAGCCCTGCCCCACACAGCTCTGCCAATGTGTCTCACCCCCGACCCGCACTCCTGCCAACCTAGTCCAGGTTTCCCCCAGCTTGACCCAGCCTCTCATTCGCCGCTCCTGCCAGCCCAGCCCTGGGCTCCCCCAGTTCTGCAAGTGCCCCAGTGTGACAAAGTGCGGGTTGTATTCCCTCTGTTATGTTGCATATGATTTCTAATGTCCTGTACTGTATTGTAGCAAGCCCAGGGTGTGCCTCCGTTTCCCTGGGCACTGCCCCAATATCTAGATGGTGGTGGGAAATCTGGTGGGAGTGTCTCCCTCATATACACACTTGACTGATGTATTCTGAACCTGAGCCCAGGAGGGGTGTATGACCTGGTGTGACCAAGAAGCAGGACAAAGGCAGGACACGGGGCTGGCTGCAGGGAGGAGACAGGCTGCTGGTGTATGAGTGAGTCTCACTGGCTTGGAGCACAGGGAGAGGGTGAGGGCCCTGGATCTGGGCTCCCTCTCCCCAGATGGAGGGTGTTGGCTGCTTCTGGTTCCTGTGCTGACAAGTCTGTTCTATGTGGTGTCCCTGTCGCCTAATAAACCTTCTGTCACGTCTGGCTGCAGATGGGGGTGCAGGGCCCAGTGGCTTCCCTCCCCTCAGTAACAGCCTCACTCTCATCATGCAGCCACTGCTAGCCCAGCCCAGAGCTCTCCCAGCCTCTCACCCCCACCACAGCCCCTGACAATCCAGCTCTGCCCACCCAGCTCTGCCAGTGCCAGTGGTTCTCCACCACTCTTGAAAGCTTTGATGGCGGTCTTCTCTTTGCCCCTTCAGCGGCCATGACTGCTTGTTACTTCAAATGATACCTGGCACTAGATACCACTATGGCCTTCCCCAGACCCTGGCTGAGCTCCCTGCCCGCCCCACTCTTCCAGCTGCCTGGTGGCTGGCTGGCTGGATACTCTCTGGGCCTTCCATCTCCTACACGCCTTGACTCTCTAGGGGAATGTCTACACGACAGCGCTAATTCAAACTAACTTATTTCGAATTAGTTCATTCAAAATAAGCTAATTCGAAATAATGCATCTAGCCCTAAAAACTAATTTGAATTAGTGTTCGCTAATTGGAAATAGCATGTCCATACTGAGTGGACCCTGAACTGAAGTAAAGGCTGGCCAGGGCATCAGGTTAGGACTTAGAGGGTGGAGCTGCTGCCTGAGGCTAACTGAGCTCTGTGCTTAAAGGGACCCTGCCCCCACCCCAGACAGACAGTTCTCAGGATTTCCTGCTTGCTTGTCTACCTCGTTGAGGGACAGCAAAGCAGTCCTGTCTTGGAGTGCCCTGAGTGCCCACACTCAGCACATCACAGCACTCGGCCATCAGCCCGGCTGCACTTGCCGCAGGCTGCCATCCGGGTGGTCCATTGGGGGGCTGTCAGGATCCAGGAGGCCCTGCAGGAGAGCTTCCACCCCGAGGAGCCCACAGAGCCACCCCAGTCCTCCCCATCGGGGGCTCGTACCCCATTCCTCCCTCACCTGCTTCCACTTACCCCTCCCTAGCCCCGCTTCCTGATGTAAAAAAAAAAAGGACATGTGTTCAAAAATAGAAACTCTCTTTATTTAACAAAACTGGGGGGATTAACATCTGGGGAGACTGGGAAAAGGAGGTGGGAAAGGGTGGGAGAGGGAAACCTGGGAGGAGGGAGCTGGAAGGGGAAACCAGGGGAAGAAGGAGGAGGGGAAATATAAAACTATGGTACGCCCACATCTTGAGTACTGTGTACAGATGTGGTCTCCTCACCTCAAAAAAGATATTTTGGCCTTGGAAAGGGTTAAGAAAAGGGCAACTAAAATGATTTGGGGTTTGGAACAAGTCCCATATGAAGAGAGGCTAAAGCGACTGGGACTTTTCAGTTTGGAAAAGAGGAGACTGAGGGGGGATATGAAAGATGTATATAAAATCATGAGTGGTGTGGCGAAGGTGAATAAAGAAAAGTTATTTATTAGTTCCCATATTATAAGGACTAGAGGACACCAAATGAAATTAATGGGTAGCAGGTTTAAAACTAATAAAAGAAAGTTCTTCTTCACACAGCACACAGTCAACCTGTGGAACTCCTTGCCACAGGAGGCTGTGAAGGCTAGAACTATAACAGAGTTTAAAGAGAAGTTAGATAAATTCATGGAGGTTGGGTCCATGGAGTGCTATTAGCCAGAGGGTAGGAATGGTGTCCCTGGCCTCTGTTTGTGGAAGGCTGGAGATGGATGGCATGAGACAAATCGCTTGGTCATTGTCTTTGGTCCACCCCCTCCAGGGTACCTGGTGTTGGGTACAGCTGTTCTTATGTTCTTATATTCTAAGCTCAGGGTCGGGGGTCTCACTGGACTAACTTGATTTTCATGCAAACCTG